ACGAGAGGCCGGTTCTGGTGTTAAAGTGTAATATGACGTATGCCTCTGGGCGTCTTTCTTCTGTTAGGCTGCCGGGATTAATATCGCTAATTGTTAGTCTCAAAGGATGCGAAGTATGTTAGGCTCGGAAAGTAGTCTGCAGGGGGCTCGGGCAACGACTTGGAAAATTAAGGATTAAGACTTCGGGGCTGATATTGCCTGGTCTTGCATGAAACATGGACGAGCTGGTTCCTTCGTGGTAAGGTGGTAATTCGGAGAACAAAGGGGGTTTTTGTTTCGCAGCTTAAGAACGCGAGCTCTCCGCCCGCGAGAAACGGAAGATCTCGCGTTCGAACGAGAGTTGATACGAGTTGAACGTTGCACGCATTAGCGGAACAGTTGGCCGGTCGCATCTCGACGTTGTGCTTCTTAAAGAATAAGCGATACGGAATACGTACGTATTTTCATAACGCGAGAGAGAAACGGACGGAATATCGGAGAGCACGAGACGCTTCGCACGAGGTATATATGTCGTGTTTTCAAGATGCGCTCGGACGTATTGTTTTAAAAACACCGCGCTATCATTCTCACATTACTGTTTGCTTTGCCTTTGGACTTCCAAAGAGGGAGATTCTCGGATTTATACGATAAGAATGCTCGTTCTTATTCGTCCGCCTGTAAAAATATCGCATTACGCGTGTCGGGTTACGATTTATCAAGTTTTTAGGCATACAGAAAATTTAAAAGGGGGATATCGGATTGCCAGTTCGCTGGCGTTGTCAAAAGAATATTGACTTTGTCGACCGTGCCTGTGTGTGTGTGTGCGTGTGTGTATTGTCGAGGGGACAGCATCCGATCGTTCCGAAATTTGCGTTATTTCACAAACATTACTGTCAAATATTGGCCAATGTCTATAAATATTAACACCGTGATAATAATAATAATAATAATAATAATAATTCAACCATTCTGCCGCGTTGCGCACCGACTGGGAAAATATAATACCGATCATTAAGACGTATCTTGTTCGCTCGCGAGCGAAGTCAAGTGTTAAACAGACTGGTTTAACAACACCTCTACAGACATAATTAAGAATGTATTAACGCGTAATGGATGGTAACAGTTATCAAGTCCTTTCAGCTTGTCTTCGGTCGAACCGTACAGTTCTGCTCTCAAAGCGTCTGCTATCAAAGACACTTCTCGTGTTTCTTTCTTCCTTTCTTTCTTTCTTTCGCGGTAAAACCAGCGTCATTTATTATAATGCCTCCATTCTGCGCCGTGCGTATAAACATCTTGGCCTTTAGAAAGCACAGAGAACGGCTACTTTCACTTTTACCTATTCTCTGTGTATCCGCGCGTGTACCATATCGCCAGCGTAATGCATGGATCTATTCAAAAGGTGTCGGTGAATCTGGCGAGCGTTAGTCTCCACGGTCACTTTCGTAGGAAGTTTTCTATCTTGCCCTACCTTTAAAAGCAAAGGTATATATACTCTATTGTATAACAGAGTCGATGGGATTTGTGGCATCTTCCCCATTGTAAATCTATCATTTTTCCTTCCTACGAAGGTTACAACCTCTCCCGCCTGTCGACTTCCCTACGTGTCGACCAAAATTATTGGCCAAGGAGCCCTCGGACACTTTCACGAACAAAAGCTCCAACGTAAAAAACAAACAATATATTTTTGATGAATAGACGTATCTACAATATTACGATGGACCATATCGAAATTTAATTTTACAAATAAGTTTCAAAGTGAAAGGCGAGCATATACACCCTTGGTAGAAGGATTTACAAGATCATTGTATGCTTGTGCTTGTATATATATCTAGGTAATTGCAGTTTGTACGCGAGACGGTTTCTCGAACGAAGGAAAAGAAGAAGCAGGAGGCGAAAAAAATGCGGGCGAGAGATAAAAACGACGGGTGATAGATCTTCATTAGAGGTCGCCGGTGCATAAGTCACGCAACAGGGGGGGGGGAAGGGGAAGGGGG